GGGGAAAACCAGCCACCTGTCTCTCATTTCTGCAGTCGTTTTAGGTCTGGGGCAGGGAACTCCAGAAGGGGTAGGGTGGAATGAGGGCAGGCAGCTGCCTCTGCCCATGCACATTGATGTGCTCTGTCAGGGCAGCCCACCCAGCACAGGTGGACTATCAGGGGAGGGAAAGAGCACAGTTACAGGACACATGGAGTCCCAGTGATGAGTTAAAGCCATTCTGGTGCCATCTACATCTGTACACACAGCACAGTTCATAACTGATATTCTCACGGTGTTGTCCTGCACAGGTGGCACCAAATGGGGGTTACTGGGAGCTTTTCATATCCCTCTGCCATTCTTTGACATGGATAAACTTTGCTTTTTCAATCTTTGACTTCCTCTTACATTCACATTGCTGCCCTTCTGTCTGTCTTTCCTATATAGAAAACCTGGAGCTGCCACTAGAGTTGCCACATGACTTATCACAATCCATTCACCATTTTCTGTGTAATGGAGCTAGAAAGCATTTGCTATGTTTTATAAAAAGATATTTCCATTGAGGAGAAGTTAAAATTGTATGGCTGGATAATGGTTACTTTGCTACTTAGCAGTGAAATCTCTAGCTGTCCAGTTCAATTCCCAAAGACATTTATAGTTTTATTTTACACAGTGCTGTGTGATTCCAATAATATTTTGAGAATTGTCATTACAATAAAATTTTGCTTTTCAGAAGGAGGCCAAAATGAAGGACTATCTTGACAATTTTTAATCATGTTGAAACAGGTAATGGAAACGGAAAATGTCCATCGGTCCTCAAGTCTAACTGGATGGAGCAAGACCACAGGACACACTGTGCTACTCACTCTCTTTCTCTGGAAGCTTTGTGGCTCTGCAGGCAAGAATGCAGTGGTTGATTATAAACATACTCCTCCTACAAGTCAGACTGCCAGCATTTCCATGAGCTGCTCTGTGACGCTTTTAGCTCCAACTTTTTTGCTCACAACTTCTATGGCACTGGCCACCTCTCCTGGAAGCTTGTTCACTACCTATGCTGGAGTCCTTTGTGACTTATCTCTTCCACTGAACTGTAACCTCTGTAAGGGCAGAATTCATCCATAGTCAGTCACCTGGGTCCCTTCCCCTACCTGTGTTCCTACACAGCATCTGTCTCCTTGCAGATGTGAATTAGGTCCTGGCTGACTGATGGAAAGTCTGACTCTCTGCTTTGTACTTCTACCAGAGACTTTGGCCAGATACCATATAATGCTGTGGTTCTGGTTCTGGCTCTGAGGTCAGGTTACCAGCAATCAAACTCTGGACCTATTTTTAATATCATGGTGTTGTTGTTTCCTCATCTCTAGAATGGAGACAATGATAATAATGACCTTATAGAGCTGTTGTGGGAATGACTGAATTGATCCCTACTGCACAATTTATATAGTGTTGCCTCAAAGAAAGTGTTTAGCTATTGCTATTATTAAAGCTGAGACTTGGTTATGGAGAATATCTATTCTGTGTTACTGTTTGGGCAACTGCAGAATCACACGTCATAACATTTCCAGATTTTAATTCAGACTTTTAAAATGGTAATTATGGAAAAAATAATTTTGTTCAGACCTAATCTGACTATCTTGAATGAAAAAATTTATGGAACAGAACTATTTTCAAGATTGTTCCAGATAAATCTATAAGATTGAGATCTACATGACAAAACTTTCAGGAACTCTTTGGGTAAAAAAGCATTTGTATCTTTCCTCCCCCCCATTTTAGGAATCAGTACACATATTGTCATGAATCACAGTTTGGTGGGCCTTTTAAGGAATTCAAAAGCAAATAACTTAATCATAGACATTGGGAGATGAGACTGGAAACTGAGGCACCAAGAGCCATCTAAGTAAAACTCCTCATTGCTAGACACCTTATGGATTAGGCATGTACAGGCCATGAGGAGGATTCCTCCCTAGGAAATCCAACCCCTTCTTGTGACTTTCAGTCCTTATTGAAGTCTCCATGCAACTGGAGTGAGTGTGGTTCTGCTCAGAAACTTGAGTTCATTTTATTTTATTTTATTTATTTTTTTTTTAATTTTTTTTTATTGGTTGTTCAAAACATTATAAAGCTCTTGACATATCATATTTCATACATTAGATTCAAGTTGGTTATGAACTCCCAATTTTACCCCAAATATAGCTTGCAGAATCACATCGGTTACACATCCACATTTTTACATAATGCCCTATTAGTAACTGTTGTATTCTGCTACCTTTCCTATCCTCTACCATCCCCCCTCCCTCCCCTCCCATCTTCTCTCTCTACCCCATCCACTGTAATTCATATCTCTCCTTGTTTATTTTCCCATTCCCCTCACAACCTCTTATATGTAATTTTGTATAACAATGAGGGTCTCCCTCCATTACCATGCAATTTCCCTTTTCTCTCCCTTTCCATCCCACCTCATGTATCTGTTTAATGTTAATCTTTTCTTCCTGCTCTTCCTCCCTGCTCTGTTCTTAGTTGCTCTCATTATATCAAAGAAGACATTTGGTATTTGTTTTTTAGGGATTGGCTAGCTTCACTAAGCATAATCTGCTCTAGTGCCATCCATTTCCCTGCAAATTCTATGATTTTGTCATTTTTTAGTGCTGCGTAATACTCCATGGTGTATAAATGCCACATTTTTTTTATCCAAGTTCATTTTAAAATGAACTTAAGAAGGTCTTCTAGTTAGACCCACAATCAGGAAACATTAATGGTCATTCTGGAAGCAGTGTTAGGATCACCAGCTTTTGTTTGCTGTCCAAACCAACAGGCCAGGGCTCTTTCAACATTAGAGCCCTGGTCATTTTCTTTCTAAACTTAAGGTTCAGATTCTAATTCCATGGTATGCAATTTCCTTTATCCAGCAACCCATTGTTTCCTCTCCTTGATAAAAGTGTGCAGTTGTAATCAGCACTCAAGGAGGCACTAGCTGGAGGTCAGGCTGGCAAACTTCATCAGGAATCTTATCCTCCTGCCTGCCTTAATTCCACAAGCCCCTCACCCCCAGAGTGTAAGCCAGGCAACTCTCAAAGGCAGGGAAGAAAGATTTGTGTTCCCACCACATTACTCCCTGACATTGGGGAAGGAAGAAACAGGTGTGTGGCTCTAAATGCATCTTGATAAAATGCAGATGGGAAGTAGAAGAGGAGCCTTGGAGGAGGAAGCTGGAGTTTGGGGTTTGTTTACCGTTGTTCACCTTTGTAATGAATTGTGAAGCTTCCTCAGGGAAACATTTTTCTTTATTATGCTATGTGGCTCCCTGTCTTCAAAACAGAGCTCTCTGGGGCTCAGGGTCCTGGTACAAGGGTGGGGCACACATTAATGATTGGCAGTTCTCCTGCTCAGGGCTTGGCACTGCCAGTCTTGTTGCAGGCTTTGCCCAGGTCTCATGCTCCAGATAGTAACTGGTTTCTTGCCTTGTTTCTAGTAATTACCAATGGGGTACTGTCCTGCTCAAAGCTTCTCTGCCACCAAGCTTCAATCCCAGATCTTGTAAGCTGTGGTCACTTATTTCTTCACTCTTGAAACTCTTCCTTGATTTACTGTGGGAGACCAACCTCGCACGTGACTGAGTTACTCCCTGGCTGGGTGTTTTGAGGTGTCCAGTAGCAGATGTGGCAGGACTTCCCTGTCCTTCTTGGGTTCCAGAACGGTATCCGGGCAGAGGCGTGTCTCTCCACTACCTCAGGGACCCAATCACCTCATTTGACCTTGCAACACTGCTCCCCTTGATCTTCATTGGACAGGATTTTCCCCAGAATTTAGAGTTCCCCAATAAAAGCCCACTCCCAAGCGTGATAGCACTCTCTTGCTAGCCTCTCTCATGGAACCTCGCTTCCCCCGTGGGGAGCTTGAGGCACCGAGTGTGAGGAGCCGTCCCGGAGCTTGGTTTAAAGGTAAAATTTGTAACTCCCTGAGAATTTCCCTGCATGACCAAACAATTAACCGTTTGCACTAGCCACGGACAAAGATTTACCTCTTGGAATCCCATTCTTTAGAAATGGGTCTTCTCTTGTTCTCCAGTGACTAGCACCTGTTCCAGACCTGCTAGGTGATATCTGCCCCTTACTGGGTCATTGACCAATCACTAGCCCTTCTGAGGCTGTGTCCACTCCCTGTTGTCCATGATTGAACCTCCTGATGCCTGGCTTCAATAGAGAAACTTTGGTCAGACTTTATTGTTCTTTCCACCCCAATCCCAGGACAATATCTTACACCACCTGCCTGCCACTCATTCTCTGAGAAACACCCTGAGTTTGCTGACCACATGTAAAGTCCTCAACTGACTGCCCACTGCTGGATTCCCTTCTGCTTCACTCTTGCCATCTAACCCTTGCTCTCACATCTTGTTGTTTTGCTCCAGTGGGGCAATCGATAGACCATAAGTTGTCTCCAGGAGGACCAAACCTGCCGTTAGGGTTCCAGACTGTCATCAATCAAGTTCACTGTGTGGTGATATAAGTCTGCACACCTGCCCAATTGCAAAGTTCACTTTAGAAATCCAGACAAGTTTGTTTGTTTTCTAGAAAGTACAGATACAATTTCCCTATTCAAAAATACATTTTTGCCTTGGTATGACCACCCTGGCCACCTTATCTAAAGTTTCAACCCCCATCCCTAATACTCACCACCTCCTTTTCCTGCTTTTTATTCCCTCTTAGCACTTTTTACTTATATAATGCATATCTTACTTATCTTGCTTACTGTTTGCCCTTCCTGGTAGAATTCAAGCTCCATGAAGGTAGGGATTTTAACTAATTTTATTATTTCTGTACTCAAAGCTGTCATTCAACAAACACTGATTAGGAAAATGAAGGAGTTAGTAGTGAATGGCAGGATTGCTTGCTATCGGGCCAGGCCACAGGGCTGAGGGTATCATGCCCTCCTCACCAGGGCAGGGAGTTCTCCCAGCTTGTCCATCATGGCCCCTGGAAGCCTGGCTCCTGGGCTTTCCGCTCTCGCCACAGCGCAGGGCTCACCTTCAGTTTGTGCTCATGCTCCTTGTTGACACGGGCCAGCAGCTGAGCTTTCCTTCTGTTGAGGGCATCGATGAGGGCATCACACTGGGCCACCAGACAGGCCTCAAACTCCACACTGTTCTCCTGTGTGAGAAAGCACATTTCTCAGGACTTGAGCTGCCAGAGAAAACACAGCTCCCTCATTCACATGTGGACAGGGCATCTCTGACAAAGGGAGTGGAAATGGACTCTGTTCACAGAGCACATTTGGTATTTTTAAAATAACTGGATAAACTTCATTCTATAGTGTTTAATTTAGATCAAAAAGTTTTTATTGCTTACATTTTTATCAAAAGGAAACCATTTCCACAAGTTGGATTATAGTCAGTAAAATAAATCTTTAAGACAGTGGCATACACATGTAAGCCCAGCAGCTTGGGAGGCTGAGGCAGGAGAATTGCAAATTCAAAGCCAGCCTCAGTGAAAAGTGAGGCACTAAGCAACTCAGTGAGACCCTGTCTCTAAATAAAATGAAAAATAGGGATGGGGATGTGGCCCAGTGGTCAAGTGCCCCTGGGTTCAATCCCGAGTACCAAAAAAAAAACCAAAAAACAAACTTTAACTTGTAGAGTGGCACATGAGTCCCACAGTGAGTCACATGTGTTCAGCTCTGTGTGGTGGAGGGTGGCAACAAAGTGGAGTGGTAGATGGTCAATGTAGGAGACAGAATCATTAAATTCAACAGAAGGAAGAAGACAGGGTTACAGTGGTCTTCAACATTAAACAATACTCTAATGACAACAGAAGTTTATAAGAAATAAGAATGATCAGCAAAAGATCTTGTCCCTTTCATTAGGGAAAGTAATAGTGAAGAATAATCAATGTTTGTAACAGGGTCACTTTGCTGTAAACATCAGGTATAAAGCAATATATGTGGAAAGGTAACTTTGTGCTAAATGAATTAGAGCTTCCTTATGATGTTTAAGTTAAATGCAGGATATCAAATTTTTACTTGACTTAAATCCATACATGTCTTTCATTTAAGCAATTCACTGAATAATAGGCATTTAGGCAAAATAATCTTGCAATAAGTTACATACGCAATTTTGATTCTTAAACTATAATCTGAACACAATTAGAATTTATAGCAAATGAAAACTAAATACTCACATATGTATTAATAGCTCTTAAAAATAGCACCCAGTTGAGGGCTGGGAGTGTGGATCAGTGGTAGAGCACTTGCCTAGCATGCTGGATTTGAGCCTCAGCACCATATAAAAACAAATAAATAAAATAAAGTTTTTAAAAAAATAAACATCTTTTTTTAAAAAAATAGCCCAGTGTTAAGTAAATTGTAAATGTTTTGGGAATAGCAAGGAAGGAACAGTTTAGCATAACACACTTTATTCCCAAAGTCATGAAGAACTATATCTATATAATAATCCACTGATAGGTATTTGGTAACTTTTTTTCAAACACAAGATCTTCATATAAGGTATGCTTTAGTAATTGCTTGAGTAATGTATCTATAGATGCTAATTCTGGCTTTCATGGCAATCATTTTTTTTTTTTTTTTGAGTTTTCAGGGAACACCCATTGAAAACATAATTTAAGAACTCTCTATGCCCCATGCAGGGAAATGGTGGAAGGAGGTTGGGAGGGAGGGAGCTTTCCCCTGGAAGTCTCTGTTACTTTTTTCTTGCAGAAAGAAAGCTTTGCTCTGATGAAGAGGCAAGAAAGAGGCAAGCCTGGGTCTGCACATTTTATGCCAGCAAAAGCAAAGAAAGGACTGATTGATAAGCTCCATGGCTTTGAAAAACAGAAGGAAGTGTACAAAACCGTTGGGTTGTTAGGGAATCAAACGTTTTAACATAGGCATGCATGCCAAAAAAGGGCAAAATCAGTGTGTAATGCTTTGAAAGGGTGGGTTATGTTTTTTAAAAAAGCCATTTCTGCCTTGATATGGGTTCAATGTTAACTCAGAAAGCCAATATATTGAAAGCCAGAGTTTAGGTTATTTCTATGAGGCAAACCTCAAAACATCAGAATGGCAAACAGTGAAAAGGTTCATTATTTTAGTGTCTCATGCCTTTTATAGGTTATCCCTTTTACTACTGTAGATAATTTATGAGTTCTCAAATGATGAATGACCTGCTTGCTGGTCATTGTGTCCAGATAAAGATATCTGAAATTATAGTCACCAAGAGATCATGGCTGGAAAATATCCAAGTATCTAACTAGAGGAGAAGCATTTCTATGGGAAAGGAAGAAATGAAAGAAAGAAGAAAAAGAACAGAAAGAAGGAAGGTAAATAAGTAAAAAAAAAAGGAAGGAAAGGAAGAAAAAACTAGAGAAAATGTGGCTTGTTAATATTAAATAAGATGTATTTACTATAGGTGTTTTGGGAATGTATAGGGCTTTAAAACTCAGAAATGAACAACTAGAATTTACAAAGAAATAGTCCTCTTTTTACACACATGCTACTAGGGAATTAGGACTACAGTGTAAAAGACAGGAACCACTTGGAAACCCAGGCTGTCTCTTGCTTGTGGGCAAAAGGCAAGCACCTCAAAAAGGGGCAGGTTGGAAGCTGCTCTCTGTGTGTTTGTATGTATAAAAGAGACAGGGCAGGAAACAAAAAATAGGAATTTTCCCAGAACACAAAAATAAAGGAGAAGACACAAACACCCCCACAATTTCACATTAGCCCATGGGGTTTGCTTTCCGTCCCAGGTGACGCTGATACCTGGATCTGCTGGACCATGTTGCGGAGCTGCACCAGAAACTCCTTGGCTTCCTTGGCCCGGTCTGACAATCCATTCAGTGCCTGGGAGAGCTGGCTCTGAGAAGAGAAAGCGGGGAAAGCATGGAGTTCTAATCACACAAGGCCACACAGAGTTGTTTCAGAGAGGAAGACCCCGGGACCAGGAGTTGTCAACCTGCTTGTCTGAGGTCAGGTCATTGAACTGACATTGATTCATACAGATTCCATCAACAATGGTGTCCACACTCCCTTCCAGGGGCTCCTGAGGAGTTTCTTCTCAAAAGCAGTGAAAACTTCTGGCCTTTGCCTCACGAGCTGACATATATCTAGACTTTCCTCATCTCCAATTAGGTGATTATTTATGTAATACCTATTATTTGCTAAGGATAAACAAACAAAACAGTGAATCGGATGATATGATTATTATTGACATTATTTAGTTCAAAGAGCTATTATCTGGGATTGGGTCAGAAAGAATGAAGAGAGACAAGAACAGAATAAAGAAGAAAGGTTTAGGTTCTTGTGCAATACCCTGGGGGCCACTTACATGTGGTGACAAAGATAAACAGCAGGATTTCATTCCCCCTTTCATCCAATCAATGTCCCCCTCCTCTTCCCATGATGGCCCTGTTGCCCTAACACCTCTCCACACCAGCCTCCTAACCAAGTCTTGCTCCCTTTCTGACTTTCTTCACCACCCTGTCCCTACAGGGGTGCTGTTCCCTTGAAAAGGCAATGTGTCCAGGTAAACACTTGCTCTCCCAGCCTCACTGTCTGCTAGGGTGGCCTTGACACACATTGCTGATCAATGTAAGTGGAAGTCTGCTGGGGGCTGGAATGGTCTGAGAGAGCTTTTTGGCTGACATGTGACTGGTGTGGCTGGTGCAGCCTCTTCCCTCGGCTCCTGACTTTACGATGGCTGTGATGTCTTCTCACTGGCATGTGGAGCAGTGATGAATCAAGTAAGATCAGTTGGGAAGACAATGAAAAAATCCTGGAAGGCTCTTCATTACTAGAAAATGTCCTTGTTGGTAAAGATTTGTGTGCATTGCTTTTATAGGATAGTCTTTCAATCATATTTATAAATATCTGGTGGAAGGATGGGGAAAAAAGGAGCCTGGATCCGATGGCATCTTGGAGCAGTGGAGCCTCCCACCACTAACTAGATTTCTTGTAAAACTCCAGTCCCCTCTACAGGAGTTTTCCCCACTTCCAGCCATGAGCATTGTATTTGATACAAAATTCCACCTCCAAGGAGCTTGGTCATATCCTTCTGTCTCTCACATTGTGACAGACTCCATTTCCCAAAATGCCTCCTTGGATAAACTAAACTCTGTTCTCCTCCTTGCCAATGTAATGTATTATCTACCCATTTTTTTCTTTAATAAAAGGACAGAATCTTAAAATTAAATCTCTTGGTCCTGTGAATGTTCTCTTATATTTGCCTTATTAAATAAAACAGGCTATTGACTCTTTTTTTTAATAACTGTAAAACAGAATGGGTACTGACTATTAAAAATATGTATGCCAAATGCTGGGAGGAAGCAATGTGGGATGGTAAAAAGAACAGATTTTGAAAGAGTTAAAATTCTGGCTTTGTCCTTTACTAAGTGTGCCTTGATAAAGTTAGCTGTGCCTGAATTACTCCAATGGAAAAAATGGGAATAGTAATAATACTTTGTCGGTGGGTTTGTGAGGGTTGAATGCATTCATCTCTTTGAAACCTTCTGCTAATACAGGTTAGTGATTAAGGCAACTATTCAGATCTCATAAATGCTGCCAGTTACTGGCTATTCAACTTTTTATACATAGTTTTACCTCCTCCATAAAATGAGAAGAATACTACTACTATTCTTGGGTGTTGTGGACATTGTATGAGATACTATGTCTAAAGCCCAGAACCCTGCTGGAGCACAGCCACAGGGTACATGCTTAATAAATGTTGGCTGCTATTAATTGTTAACTGCTTTCTTTATTACTGCTTACACAAACACCTGCTGACTGGAGAGATCCAAAGCACAGATTCCTGGAACAGGATCTGTTGGAGAATATTCTCCATCACTTACACTGCCAGAGGGTAGACCAACACAACTGAGTAAGAAAAATCACACATTGAGCCTAGAGTTGAAAAAAGCCGACTCAATTCTTTACTGGGCGTTTCAGTCAGCTTTTTTCTGCTGCACTGAAAGACCTGACAAAAACAACTGGAGAGGAGGAAAGGTTTATTTAAGGGCTCATAGTTTCAGAGGTCTCAATCCACAGACAGCAGGCTCCATTCCTTGGGGTTCAGGGTGAGGCAGAACATCATGGCAGAAGAGTGTGGCAGAGGAAGACAGCTCACATGATAATCAGAAAGCAGAGAGAGAGAGAGAGAGAGAGAGAGAGAGAGAGAGAGAGTGCTCTCAAGATACAAAATAAATACCCCATTGCCACGCCCCTAATTAACTATTTCCTTTAGCTATACCCTACCTGCCTCCAGTTACCACTCAGTTAATCCCATTAGGGTTTAATCCACTGATTAGTTTAAGGCTATAACCCAATAATTTCTCCTTGGAACCTTCTTGCATTGCCTCACATGTGAGCTGTTTGGGGACACCTTACATATAAACCACAACACTGGGTCTTAGTTACACCATCATAAGAGGTTAAATGTCTCCTCAAGAACTATTTCCAGGAACCCAATAGATAAAGGAGAAAAAAGTGTCTCATTTAGGAGGAAATGTTTCTTTTAGAACTCATGTTTCTTTATTTTTTTTCTGAATGGCTAAAGGTTTGTTGAGCAATCACAGCTTTATTCCCTTTTTATTATAACCTATGAGTTAGTAACCACCCTTGGAAGTGTGAGTACAGAAAGTAAATTCATTTGGCTACACAGAAGTGGAGCTATCTGATTTCTTACATTCTAAACTTGGGATTAATTTTGTCTGTGTATCTAAGTCAAAGCTGACACCCATGAAGTTTTGTTAACCAAGAGTTGCATATTCTTAGAAAAAAACATTTAGTAGTAGACAAAGAGTGCTGGTTTCATCAAGGATTTTATATGGCAAAGCAATAAGTGAATTGCAAAAGACAATTTTTCCCACGTTTCTTTTCTTTGTGTCTATGCTCAGTCCTAGTGCCCTCACCTGGCTAATGATTGTTCTGGTATTTGATAAACAATTGCATTATAAGATAAAGGTCTAGAAACCTTTCTTTTAAGCTTTGTCTACTTGTAGAAATTGAGCAGGAGACAATGAGAAATCCTGGAAAGCTATTTATCACTAGAAAATGCCCTTTGTGGTAAGGGCTTATATGTGCATTGTTTTTATAGTGTAGTCCTTTGAGAACATTTGTAAGCTATATCTGATATAGAAGAACCTTATTATTGATTGATCTGGTTTCCTAGAAACCTTTAAATTCCTGATCTGTGCTAGCAGAGACATTCTGTATTCAGGACCACAGAGCAGCATTGTAGATTTACCACCAGAGCACTGAAAATGCAAATATGCAGTGTGTGTTTTTATTGCAGTATCTTTGGCTGAACATATAGTCATTAGAGGGAGGAAGGTTCTACAGGCTGTTTATAATGCCTATGAAGTGGCTTTCAGAGTTCTTGGAGATTCATTTTCTAATGAAAGTGTCTGAAAGTGAATGAGAGTGGAAAAATGATGCACCCACAGAAGCACAGACGGTTTTCTGGTTAAGTTGTTCTCGGCTCAGAGCATGATCAGAATAACCAAGGTCTACAGAAAGATGGCAAGCTGCTGAAGAAGAGAAACAAAGAACTCCAACTCTTCCTCCCCTCCATGCATGCCTCTCCCTTTAACTCCACACCTAGAAATACTCCTTTTGGAGGCTTTCCTTGCCTCCAAAAGGAGTATTTCTAGGAGAAATTTTAAGAGTTCAACCCTAGAGCAACCGCAGAGGATGTTTCAGAACCCATTTCTTAGGCTCAGCAAAGGGGAAAGGAATTCAATCCATCCTGACCAATTTCTTACTTTATGTGCATGCAGCCATGCTGCTGAGCACACCCCAGAAAGAAGACTGGCTCTTTCCCTTACTCCACTGTAAATATCATACACTTGTCATTTTCCCCTCAATTTACTACTAATATTGGGTGAAATTCCCCGGTTGTCTGAGATCTGAAGATACAAGTAAAGAGCAAGTCAAAAAGGATCAACGAAAGAGTTGGTATGAAACAGGTGAGACAGCAAATACACAACAGCTGCTCAATGGCCCAGAAGGTGTGGGGCACCTTCTCCATCACAGTGCACGCTGTTCAGGTACTGCAGGTGAGCCACAGCCCACTCTGCCTCCTTTGCAGGTACCAAGGTAAACACCAAACACAGGAATAAAGTGGCCACTGGTGCAATGAGATTCTGAAAAAAGGTGCCCAAGAGAATAACTTTTTTTTTTTCTGAAGAAATGCTGATTTTTTTTTTTTTGACTCTCACAACATTACCAATGTTATACAAGTAAAAAGTAAAAGCAAGAAACTCTAATAGTTATAATGGTCATTTGTTATGACCTGGGAACTCTAATGGGTGCTTTAAATGTACATTCTACTTAATCCCAATCACCAATCTGTCAATTGTAGAGGCTTGGAGAAGATATGCCTGAGTTAAGGTGTTTCTACTCACATGGAACACAACGAACCTTAGTGGGATCCCCAAATCATGCCTTTTGCTCCACTACCCCAAAGAAATGGAGAGGGGGGCGGAGCAACCCATGGTATAAGCATGTAAAAGCAGAGAAGGTGAGCTGATGAGGGCTCATTAATGATTATGAAAGGACCTGGTCATGCTCAATCATCAGTTAATATATAAGCCATGGCATGCCTAGTTACCCTGTGAAATGTTCAGCTTCCTTTCCTGCATGAAGTTTTTGGTTTTGTTTTTGTTTTGGTGAATTTGAAAAAGAATCCTATAAAAAGAGAAGGGTATCATGGCAATAAGGAAGAAGCTTGGGATTGGGGTCCAGAGCTGGCTTTATCACCTACTGGCCTGAGAACTTGAACAGAGACTGGGGTGAGTGGGGAGTGAGGTAAAGGAATAAGAACCAAGTGGCTAGTGTTTGGGAACATTCCAGATGAACTGTCC